ATATATATATATATATATATAACATTTTACAAATAATACAAAGGTAAAAAGCTTCGCGAGCCCTCTTAAAGCATTGCTTTTTGCTAGTTGTAAATAAAAACGTGTACTGTAAACATTATGCACTTCTTTAATTCTCTGTTCCCATTTACCATTTTATAATAATTAATCCTTATTTAATCGCACATTATAACTTTCTAAAATACTTTTTGTGTAAGTCAAAGTGCCAGCTGCAAGTCGTTACAACGCAATAGCGTACACCGGGTTAATGATTGATGATTTATATGTAAACAGATGGACTTGTTTATAAAACATTGATTTTACACAGAAACAATTCGATTCTTTTTCCTATGGCCAACCAGTAAACGGCTACCTGAATTCGTCAAAATAACGAAGTGATATAGACATGCGCATTTGCGGATTCGTGCCTATCTTAAATAGACGCAGGAGAGGACGCATATTCCCTCTTCCTAGACATACCCTCCTCCGCCAAATTTACTATTAAATTGTTATCAATTATTCTTGCCGTGTTTCTAGTAATACGTTTAGATTTAGGTGTCTCAAAGTAACGATTTTCGTCATACAAAAGTACAGCAAAGAAAGCGAGATATCCTGACAATCATAGTATGTAGATCAATAAAGTTGCTTCCCTTTAGCAGGATGAAGGTATCCCTCCCCACCTACTAAGAGAGTACATCGGTGCGCAGCAGCCAGCGCAGGCGCAGACACAAATCATCCCACGACCTGCTCATCTCGGCGGTGCGCAAGTTCCCGCCAGATTGGTGAATATTTATAGAATTCTTTAGTAATGAAACAATTACTGATATAAATACTTTACCATCAACTAATCAACACAAGCGGGGTTACACAAAGTGCATTCGCTGCGAAGCGATTCCATAACGAACTTCAAAAATATATGAAACTGAAAATAACTTTCGATAAGACACGTGTTTGTTGCGCGTCAGTTCCATACATTTTTAAAGTTCGCTATGGAACCGCTTCGGAGCGTATGCATTTTGTCTCACCCCTCCGAACTTTCAGAAGCATTTTATGTTATCCTTACTCGTATAAGGTCGTGGTCTCAGTTATGGTAGTAGAATGTGTCTATTATTTCATGTATTAACTGCAGTATAGAGGTCTTCAGACAAACACATTTCTAACTTTCATAATGCTCGTTATCTACAGCCCTACCAAGTACAAGCTGAGAACCAATACCAACCTAGACCTCAGTACCAACCGCAGCCGCAGCCGCAACAACAGCAGTACCGTCAGCAGTACGCGCAGGAAGCTCCCCAGCGCACCCCTGAGGACTATGACGTATGTATCCGACACAGTTACAGTCGAGGACATATATTTCCTACCCATTAAAATATAATAGAACAAGTATATTAAGTTTTTTAATATTTTTTTACATAATCTTTTCAAACGTTTATTAACAGTTATTTACTACTGTTATTTAATTTATTCATTGTGTATTTTATTTATCTTACTTATATTTTCATATCACTTTTCATTCCGTTCCAAGTAAAATAAACAGTATAGTATTTTAATAAATTACGTCACAATTTTGTGTTTAATAAATGTTTTACTCAATGCAAATGCTTTGCAATATGCTCTACTTCCAATAACCATTTAAAATTATCTTCAATCGGAGTACTGGCCAGAGCTGGTTTACGATTAAAACTTTCACTTAGAACTTGTAATATTAACGTTACTGCGTTTATGTATCCTACTTTATAACTACAGGATGTATAGGTTGTTACAATGATTACTTTATAGATAGCTTTCTCTTTATATTATTATATATACTCTGATTAACCAAACCACTTGACTAGGATCTTACTAATATTATAAATGCGAATGTTTAGTTCGATGGATGGATAGGTGGATTGATGTTTCTTCGAAGGTATCTCCAGAACGGCTGCATGGATCTTGGTGAAATTTGGAGTAGGTGTAGAACACAGTCTGGAAAAACACATAGGCTACTAATTAAGTTTATTTTTAATTCCGCGCGGACGAAGTTGCGGGCGACAGCTAGTATACGATGAAAAGTATGTAAGGGATAGTCGAGACCGCGATATTTTTCTTGCTTATAGAGTATTCTCTCTAATCCGATTATTCTCGCTTAATGAAGTCGTCCGTTTGGACTGGACAATGACTCTCGCTTACAAAGATTTCACGACTATCCAGTTTCGATTGGTTGATAGCGTGATTATATAAAAAGATTTGAGTTAATTATTCGTGCAACGATTAAAATAATTAGAAGTTATGTTTAGCAGTTATAATGCTGTTATAAAATCTGTTACAACGTAATATGTAAATCATATTAAGCTAATTTATACTTGGATTATTATACGGAAATATTATCTAATAGTAATTTACAAACATGTTAACTTTATAACCGGTAATATCCATCTGCAGGCATTCGTTACTTAAAAATTATTTCTAGGAACGATGCCCGTAGTTTCCTTAAATTAAGGTTCGATTCTATTCATATTGTATTTTAATTCCAGCCTCATCCATCTTACCAATTCGGATTCGACGTGAACGACGACCAGTACACCAACTACCAGAACCGCAAGGAACAGAGAGACGGTGACGTCATCAAGGGTTCTTACTCTGTGGTCGATAGCGATGGTTTTGTGAGGACGGTCACATACACCGCCGACCCTAAGGAGGGATTCAAGGCTGAGGTAATCAAAGACAATATGTCTTCATTGTAGATAGCTAACTTTGTTCTTGTATGTTATTTGCTATTGCGAATTTAATTTGGCACAAAAGCATCACATAAAAATATATCTCATAAATTAAAATATTATGTTTTCTTACTAAAATTATAAATGCGAATATATGAATGGATGGATAGATGTTTGTTTATAGGTATCGAGATAAAGGCTGCATGGATATCGTTAAAATTTAGCATAGATGTAGAACATAGCCTGGAAGAACTGTGTTCTTATGTATTTTATGTCCGTGCGGACGGAGCCACATGCGACAGCTACTTCTTAAATCTATTTCTCCTTCATAGGTTTCAAGAAAGCCGACCGACATCGTAGTAAAGATCCCCACCCCCAGGCCCCAGGGTTTGGAGCAGCTAGGTCACCAGCAGCCGCAACCGCAAATTCAGCACCAACAGCAACCGCAGCACCAACAGCAGCCGCAACACCAGGTCTCCCCGCAGTACTATCCTCGTTACGAACAGTAAACTATAAATAGTTACACGTGTAATAATAATGTCTAGAATTATAAACAAAGATTTCTGAACATACTAAGTTAAACATATTTTCCAATAAGCAGAACCCAATTTTAGGGCAAGAAACACTCGTCTGAAGTTAATATATCCTTTGTCTCCCAAGTAGCTGGTTGTTGGTTTCTGGGATGAAAATCACCTTTTGGAACAAATTGTTATGTCTGTTTCTTCAAAGATAATGAAATATAAATACCTTCAAACTTATATGACCCGGTGGGCATAAGTCAAACTAAATTATGATAGCTCACTAACGCCCCCTATCAATATCAAAAAAGTGTCTCGTCGTACTATAGCTGTCTTATCATGTTTTTACTTTTCTATTCTTCTGTAGGTTTTACATATTTTGGCGCAAAACGCATCTCACCGGGCCAGATATAATTGTTTGAATATAATAAAATTATTCCTATTTTAAATTTTAAAATCATCAGTCGTAAATTCTTTTGTGCCATGAGTAAACGTGAAATAATTAAATTGCATGACGAACTACGAACATTTACAAAATTCCCAATAAAATACAAATAATTTCGATGAAATCATAAAATATTTACATTAAATGTATTTTTATATTTTTAGAAGTTGGAAAGAAAATCCTATTACTTTTAAGTATACTTTAAAAAGGTTATTAAAGACATTATTATTATAACATAGCTTATAAGTAGATGGTAAAAAAATACCTAGGCTAAATTAGAAAATAAACAATTGAGTCATGCAAAAGATCATAAATAAATTATACTTTGTAAGAATTCATTCACAATTAATATTTAGTCAAACTGTAAATATAAATTTTGTATTGAAATGATAATAAAAATTATTATACTACTAGTATACCAACACAATAATTTGCCTTTCATTCCTATCAAGGAGTAGAACTTCCTTTTTTATCGTGGAGAAATGCTTTTCGCATACCATCCTTGGGGACAAAGGTTATGTCGGGCTTGCACCGACTAAAACCCCACG